TTTAAAAATAAAAGATTATGCATTATACAAATATAAAAAATTATTTTAAAAATATCAAAAATAGGTAGAAAGAGCACAATTGCAAGTTTGCAACATTGGATTTAATAAGATAGAAAAAAAAATAGAATATAAAATATCAGAACTGAGTGACAAAATTAGTCTCAGAAAGCTAAATTCCTAAAGAGAAGAGAAAGCCAATATATAAAATACTATATATATAATATATATATATATATATATGTATATATATATATATATATATCTTTTATTTTTGCTTCAAAATACAATAGATATAAATTTGGAAAAGATAAACCACATTTAAAATTTCACACTTGAGTTTCTAGAATTATAGAAGAAAATGTTATGCATAAGAATTCATGCATGTACTAAAAGAGAATATATATAATGGAACGGTCATAGGATACTAAGTCAAATACAAAAAAAAACGTTTAATATATGTAGTATATTATAAATAGATCTGTAAATATATACAATTATCACTTATAAGATTTCTATTATATTTATATAGCCGTTTTTTACCAATAGAATATCATATAGTTTTCAAATAGTATTGTAATAAAAAATATTTAAAATAATGTAATTTACAAAACTATAAAAACACTTGAGTATATATTACTAAAACCACGCAACACATGGATCCATTTCTAGTTGAAGGTAAATAAAGTTGACTCATCTTGATAGGTACGTAATAATACCCATAACTATCAAATAAAGATGATGACTAAATTTAATTTGGATATGAGGAGAGCTTTGGAAACCTTTATAATAATTTATATAAACCTTTATTCACATATTTTTTGGGGGTATAAAAGTGGTCTTGAGAGACGCATATAATTGTTGTTTAATTAATTTGGGTGGTTGAGATTTGTCTTTTTCACAGCTCTATTGCCAAAATCAGGGGATTAAAATAGAATTTTAAAGATTTAAAGATCACCTGGAGGATTATGTCTTAATTACTAGTTTTCTATTTTTCTCATATAAAACTATGATTGGGATTCAAATCAACAGGAAAATAAGAAAATTTTGGAAGGAAAGGAGTGGTACTAGGCATCAACAGGTAGATCACCCTGTCTCATACCTTCTCCGCGTCATCGAGACAACATTTTGTAATCGCATATCATCGTTACGATACCGGAAATCACACAAGCTTGGAGGCCTCCTTTGTCGGTTGTTTCAAGCTCGTGGTTATGATTAAAAGTTCACACGCTTTCTAGCTTATAATCTTATTTTTAATTCATTATGTACATACATTTTATTGTTTTAATTAGAATTTAACATTTCCTCCAGAAAAGGAAGAAATTTTTGTTTTTTATATATTAATTTATGTTTTTTACGAAAACATATCTTTCCCGTTCATTTAAGTTGTATGTTTTGGAATTTTCACATATTGTAGGAAAATATTTGTGATACCAAATGTAATTTTATTCTGTGAATTGGGTTTTTAATATTTAATTAATGTATACATTCAATTAAATTTAATTGACATGGATATATCATAGAGAACTATAAAACATATTGATTTTTTAAATAAAAATCTAAAAACATACATATTATAAGGAGTATGATTATTATTACATATTGATTTTTTAAATAAAAATCTAAAAACATACATATTATATATAAGGAGTATGATTATTATTACTTACTTTTCCAGCAGTCGATTTCAGAGCTGGCCCTTGATGTAAGCCATGAAAGTGAGAGCTTAGAGCAAGTCTAATGGTTTTTTTTTTTTTCAAGTCTAATGGTTTACTTTAAACTGATAACGCTTGCATGATTTTATTACCTAGAAGAATCACTTTTAGTCGAAATGTCAAATATGGCAGGTTTAGTAAAACATCTTTCAAACAAATGCTAGTTAGTTACCAAACGATGCTTCTAGATTAATAATTTTATGGAAACATATAAAGGCAATAAACCCTAACTACAAGTCAGCTTTAAGCAATGCAATAATTCAAAAGCTTACCCACGTGTAAAAGCCGACACGACACCCATAACAATATGTTACACTATTTTTTTTTTTTCGTTTTTATGGAAACATATTTACCCATTATTAAACTTTTTCAGATGCTAAATTGTTTTTCTTCGTTTTGACAGTCAATTGGGTTTGGTTTACAGAGACTACCGGACTGGAGTTAGTTGGGTTTCTATATCTTTCCACGTGCAGTGGTTACGGTAAATATCCCTTAGTGGCCACAGTACAGACTTTATATATTAAGTTAGCAAATGATTTAAAAATTTTGTAAAAACCCCTTTAGTGGCCACAGCAGAGACTTTATAAAGTTAGCAAATGATTTAAAATTTTCATCACATGCATACTACAAAATAGGTTTGTCCTCACGTAAATCTATATTAATAGTTTAGAAAATTAAAGTTGTTTTAGTAAGTATTTACAAAAAAATACCATTACATTTTATTTATGTATCCAAATAATTTTACAATTAATTTTCTATTATTTTTGTAATTAAACAAAATTAAAACTATTTTAATATTAATTATAATGTTAAAATATCCAAACCATGTTCTACAGCTAATAATATAGATATTTAGAAGGTTTTATTAAAATTTAAATTATGATACTCTTATATATCATATTTGTTTGATTTTACTTTTTTAGTTGTTTAAAATCATCATATAATACATAAAGTTATTAAAACTATAAATTTTTGTGCATATAATGTAATTTGAATTTTTACAAACGAGCATATATTATTCAATTAATAAAAAATAAAATATGTATTCGACGTCCCATATCGGCTAAAATATATAGGCTATGATTGAGAGTCATATTATAAATAAACTAAAATGAATTCAAATCTGAATGACAAGAAGTTTAACTTACCAAGCACCTAATTTAAATAAACAATTTAATTTAGTTCTTAAGTTGAACTCTTAAATTTTACAAGATATAGTAAAAGTTTTTAAGAAAATTAAATATTATAATTGATATATTAAAACTTAACAAACAAAATTAAAATATTATGAATATTTAAATATATAAAAAATTAAAATAACACGACAGGGGTTATATTGATGACGTGTTATATGGAGGGACGGGTTTAAATCGACATCAATAAAAATTAAAATATCATTAATCCGACGCTTCAATATAGATTAAATCCTCATTTTTTTTATTTTGTTAACACCACCAATATTAAACATATCGAATCAAACTAATTTAACTTAGATTGTATAAAACAAAATTTATACCGCGAGTTAAATCCTATTACTTAACAATTGCATAACTCTGCCATGTAAATACATCTACATATAAATTGGCTCTCGAATCCTTTATTCATTTCCTTTTAGCTAGATATATTTAAGTAACAATGAATAATTTGTTCTCTAGCTTTACTATACTTAACAATTCATTGATTCTATTCCCTTTTTTTCTTTTTAAAGTGAAAAGTTTCATTATTGTAAGGTTACAGGCAATGTATAATAAAAAAAGTATACATTTTAATGAAAAGAGATCTTCATAAAGTGATTCTCTCTATTGTTTTACAACACGTTTTTATGAGAAAAAGGGACAAATTGTTGATGCTAAGTTCTCTCGATTACAAAACATATTTCAATACCACTTGTTGGAACTTAGAACACATCAATTACAAACGGAAAAATAAAATGTCAACACACACACACATCAAACCCAAGACATATATTGATAATTAATTAACATTCATAGAGTTTAATATCCATTTCGAAACAGAAATAATGAGTTTGGTCTTTAACGTAGCGATCCCACAAGTCATGAGGAAGTCACCAGTGCCACCAACGATCGAGATGTCTCTAGTCGGCTCCATTATCGGATTTGCATCCATTATGGTCAATGTCCCTTTGTGTTGTGTCGTATTTAATACCAATGTGCAAGCAACCTAAATGTTGTAATTCGTTTTCTTGGTGTAGAATAGAAAACTTTGGGCATGAGCCACTGGTTTCGAGAGGTAGTTCTGGTCCATTGTAACTTGTCAAAGATCACAAACTTCTCGAAACTGAAGTTCCCTAGTCCTAAAGGGTTCTCGATTGTTGCTGATGTGGCATTATCCGCGTCATCACTAAGGTCAAATGACTTTCGAACCAGTGAGACGGTATTGGATTGGAGTAGTAAAACGGATAAGCAGAAGGAGAAACAGTTGTTTGTAGATTTGAATTGCCATGGTTAGAGAGCTTAGTAGAAATGAGTAGTGTTGATGTTGTAGATATGAGGGGTTTGGAAATCTTTATTTATAGACATAATACATAATTCATTTTGTTTGTTTTGATATAAAAATGGGTTTGAGAGAGATAATTGGTTTGTTGATATTTGTCTGTATTTGCAAAATCATTTAATCAAAACAGAATTTTAAGATTTTAGGACTCGATAATTACTGATGGCTCAACTACCATTTGTCTTCCTTTTATTTACTCGAAACCATTTCATTTCCTCTTAGGAATATATAAGTAACAGTTGATGCTTTGATTTCTACATTACACTTAACAATTAATTGATTTAAGATGAAACAAAGTAGAAGAGCTAAAGAATGGACAACTTACCCGCCCCACAAAATGGTTATCTTTATTGGTTTACATGTAAGGCGACTAATTTGGTGTGAGCAAAACACTACAACAAAGTTTCTTTGTTTTGGTAAGTGGTAACGACAAAAATCTGTTCATGCTAAGTTTTCTAGATTTCTTGTTTAGAATTCAATCCACATCAAGGAAAAGAAAGCTTGTAAATTCAAAAATGAGATCCATCGCAAAGAATTTACTTTATAATGTCTGTGAGAAACTTAATCTTTAATTACCACCCAACCAAGAGAATTGAGCTATAAATAGAGGGACACAATTTGAACATGTGAGTATAACTTTAAGGATTTAACTTAATATTAATACTCACAAGTTACAACTAAAACAAATAAATAATATTTTTAAAAAAAGATCTTTAATGATATTGTAAAAAGTAGAATGAAATTAAAAAATCTCGTGAAGAAACAAGATCCGACCTGCCGGAATCGAACCAGCCACCTAAAAATTACATCAACAACCACAGTCTTCTGCTCTACCAACTGAGCTAAGAGCCCCTATAGAAGATAGGCTTGTGATTGAATTCCATTGAATGTGTTTCGTCTCTATAAGCAATAAGATTTTATCTCGATCTCTTTCAGTATATATGCTTTTTTTTTTTTTAAAGAAAGCTGTAACCCCTGGACTAAGTTAATTTGACCAATATGCTTTGTTGTCGTGATTGTTAATTATTTTTGTCTGTTTAGTTTTGTTCACATTTTCTAATATTTTTGTACATTATAAATGTTTATGGAAATCATTCTTGAACGTTTATGTAGCTCTCTTGGTTAAAGATGGAGTAATAACGTGTACAGTGAGACCCTAGGCGAAGCTTAGAGGTTGCCGGTTCGAGTGACGCTTGGGACGAAACTAATATTACATGCTGTGGTTTCGGGCCTGGGGGGATTACGGACTTTGGCCTAGAACTTCCTGGTATTCAAAAAAAAAATAAAAAAAAAATAATAACGTGTACAGTGGCGTGTTTTATTTAGAAGAAATTCTCTTTTATTTATAGATTCCATTTTCTTTTCTTTTTTTATGAAAGACAATCGTTATTTTTTCTTAAGCACTCGGGTTCTGCAACCCTAGCACATATGAGAAATAAACAAATTTATATAACATTTTGGTAACACTACTTACAGTAAAACGAGTTGGGTTTTCTTCAATTATTAACACTGGAAAACGTCGGATTCCTAGAGTATATAGACCAAACGATTTGTCGGTTTTAACCAAAATTATGACGTCCATTTAATCAGTTTAGGGTTTTAACGTTTCTTTAGACAGATTCAAGTTCAAGGGTTTAGTTTTATTGATACTTGAACGTCTTTTTTCGTGGAAATCTCTTGTAGTATTGCTAATAAAATCAGACAATAGCTTATTAATTACATAATAGATCTAATAGATGCATGTTTAAAACTATATAACAAAAGACTGTTTTATTATTTATTAACTCGTTACAAACATATTTCAATACCATTTAATTTATTGAAATTTTGGAACAACATCAACAAAAAACAAAGAAAGCAAATAAAATGGCAACACACAAACATCAATCCCAAGACACATATTAGTAACATTCATAAAGTTTAATATTCATTTCCAAACAAAAATACTTACTGCCTTGAGAGAGTTTGGTCTTCAACGTCGCGATCCCACGAGTCATGAGGAAGTCACCAGTCCCACCAACGATCGCTAGGTCTCTGGTCGGCTCCATACCATAAGGATTTGCATCCATTATGGTAAATGTCCCTTTGTGCTTTGTCGAATTGAATACCAATGTCCAAGCGACCCAAGTGTTGAAATTCGTCTTCTTGTTGTAGAAGTAGAATCCTTGTGCACGAGCCACTGGTTTCGAGAGATAGTTCTGGTCCATTGTCACAGGGTTGTCACATATAATTAACCTCCCGAAACTATAATCCCCTAGTCCCAAAGGGTTCACAATTGTTGCTGCTGTGGCATTAGCCGCGTTATCATCATCGTAGGCGATGTTATGGAGGTAAAGGACGAAATGCCTGCATGGTTTGTTTAGGTCGAATGATTTTCGGACGTATGAGACAGTACTGGATTGGAGAAGTAAAACGGATAAGAAGAAGGAAAATACTTGTTTGTAGATTTGATTTATCATTGTTAGAGTGTTAAGTAGTAGAAATGAGTAGTATTGATTTTGTGGATATGAAGACTAAAAGGGCTTCGGAAACCTTTATTTATACATATACATAATTGGTTTGTTGATATTTGTCTTTTTTTACCAGCTTATATTGCCAAAATCCCTGAATTAAAATAGAATTTTAATATTTTAGGACTCAATAATTATTGATGGTTCAACTATCATTTCGTATTACTTTTATTTACTCGAAGCCATTTCATTCCCTCTTAAGAATATATATAAGTAACAATGGATACAATTTTTTCCTACATTACACTTAACAATTAGTTGATTAAGAAAACACAAAGTACAAAAGCTAAAGAATGGACTACTTACCTGTCCCATGAAATGGTTATCTCTATTGGTTTACATGTAAGACAGCTAGTTTGATGTGAGCTAAAAGACAACACAACACAACACAAAACTTTTTTGTTTTTGTTTTGGTAACGACAAAAACTTGTTCATGTTAAGTATTCTAGATTTCTAGTTTAGAATTCAATCAACATCGAGGAGAAGAAAGCCTGTAAATGGAATGAGATCCACCACAAAGAAACCACTTTAGAATTGCAATGAGTAACTAATCTCTAATTACCACCCAAACAAGAAAGCTGAGCTATAGGACGACACAATTTTGAACCGCAATGTTAATATTTTTGGGCCCTACTCACAAGTTAGGCTGAACTCGGGAAAAATATAAAAGCCCAAAAGTGGAAAAAAAAAAATCAACAAAATGATCTTTAAAGGAAAAAAATCCGACCTGCCGGAATCGAACCAGCGACCTAAAGATTACAGCTACTACTACAGTCTTCCGCTCTACCAACTGAGCTAAGGTCGGCTTTTGATTGCTTACTACTAAAAACATTATTTAACCAGATTACTTTGCCTTGAAGTGTTAAGCTTTTTATGTCCAGGGTCTTCGCATGTTTGAGAAGTGAGAACATAGAATGATAGAAAACTAAACAAAAAGTTCATCTCGCAATAGTATTTGACCCACTGCAAGACAATTTTTGTTTTATACAATCTAATATTGGTGGCGTTAAAAAATATTAAAATGAGGATTTAACTCGTATTGAAGTGTCATGTTAATGATATTTTCAAACTCTTTTAACCTGAAAATATGAATGGAGCTAGCTTTAAAAGGGACGGAAACAAAGCTTTAAAAGGGACGGAAACAAAGCTTTAGGTACATAAATGTCGTTCGCAAGAGGCGTTTTATAACAGCATCTGGTTAGAAAACCGCAAAGACAACAAGAGAATCAAAAATCTAGATGCACTTCACCTATAAAAAACCTAATTACCATGCTGCAGAGTACACGAAAACAGACAAGCCGAAACGTTCAATACGCTAAAGATTATAGGAAAAGAAGAAGAAGAAGAACATAACAACGCGCTTAGCGGAAAAACCTGAATTACATTATAGAAAACCTTCTGTACCATTACATGATTCATTCCCATAAAACTTACCTAAACAGTTCTTCTTACTTCTTAATCTCTACTACTCATTCTGAAAATGATACGACCTTTAGTAGAATCATAAACACTCATTTCGACTTTCACTTTATCACCGGGAAGTATCCGAATGAAATTCTTCCTAATCTTACCACAAATATAACCAAGGATGTTATCACCATTCTCCAAATCGACTCTAAACATTCCATTAGGAAGCGATTCGGTTACTAAACCTTCGATTACTGTTTTGTTGCTTCCTTCTTTAACAGGAGGCTTTGCAGGTTTGCTTCTATTAGCTCCTCCTCGTCCTCCACTCGCTCTCTGGCATCGTATCACTGGCCGGATATTCACAACTGAATTGCTTCCAACAAAGTTTATTTGGCTGTTTACAAAGGAAAACGAAAATCAAACAAAGCAGTTAGCTGAAAGATTGGTTTTGACTTCTGAAAGATTTCGACTTTGAAATGTTGACATAAAGATCCTAAGCAATCATCAAATCAATCAAAAGAATCAATTTTGATTCATAAAACACTCAAAACCAATTGGTTATAACCCAAATTAGTAAACACTATAGGGGATTTCGAAACTTAAGCCAACTGTGTAATTGAAGGAACTAACTCGAGTCTTGTAAGAAAAAAACAGTGATGTTCATTACTAACCGAATCAAGATTCCATCAGTAAACCGGAATTGACGAGGAGGAAGAAGAAGTTGAGGACGAAACGTGGAGCAGAGTTGAAGCATCTTGTATCGCTTCTTCTTATCTTCAAATCCCTAAGCTTTGCTTTGCTTTGTTTTATTTATCCTCTCTTTAAACAAAATGGGCTATTGTTGGCTGACCCATAAAAACCAGCTATATAAGCCCAAGCCCACAAAAATCGAACAAAAACCTAGCAGCCTTTTTTTTTTTTGCCGCTCCAAAATTCTCTGTCTCTCTATCTATCTCTCTCGTCTCCTAGAAGAAACAAACAGTATTAAAACGTTCTAACTCAAAGGGAAACAATCTGAAACACAAAAAAAAAGCTTAAGAGGAACAGAATCGGTCTCGTTCTCTATAATCTCTCTCTCTGACTTGTGCGTGTTCTCTCAAATTCTCTGATAAGAATCAATGGCGAAGGAATTTGTAGAGAAAGCTAAAAAAGCTTATTTAGATGATGACTTCGATGTTGCTGTTGACTTATACTCCAAAGCCATTGAGTTGGATCCCAATTGCGCAGCCTTCTTCGCCGATCGTGCTCAGGCCAACATCAAACTCGATAACTTCACTGGTTTAAACTCTCTTCCTTACCCTAAAATCATCGTTAAAGGCGATATGAGGTTATAGTTTTAGGGTTTCTTTTGTGAGGTTGTGTTGTTACCTTATTCGGATAAGAAAACTTATTTTAGGGATTGCTTTGTTTCATGTGAATTTGGCATTGATTTGATGTTGGTATGTGTATCTTTTGCTTATCATTAGGAAACGAATTGATCTCAACCTTGTTTTCTTGTAGCTTACAGATTGTGTGTTCGTTGACCTTATTGTTTACTGGATTTGCTTCTCTGTTGTCCTCCTTTTTTATTTGCTTTGTTGTTCTGAGTAGTCACTGATCTATAAACTTTGGAGTTGCTTCTTTATCTAGCTAAACCAGTTGCTACTGTTTTGCTTATTCCTCCTCAGTACTTTGGTTGAATTTTTTTTGATGATGTGATGTTTTATCGTTTGTGGTTTTCCATGAGCAGAAGCTGTTGCAGACGCGAACAAAGCCATTGAGTTACAACCAACATTGGCAAAAGCCTACCTCAGAAAGGGGTATGTTATTGTCATCTTCTCTCTGTATTTAAGCTTAATGATGATTTGATTGGAATCATAATTGTATTTTCTGATACTTTTATTTATTCGCAGCACTGCTTGTATGAAGCTAGAAGAATATCGTACTGCTA